TGACTGGGAATTCTGGGAGTTGAAATCCACATATCTTCGAGTTGCCACGGTTGAGAAACACTGCTTTAGACAATTACATTATCAGGGTTGTTTTTCTTTGATTAATTTTTCCAATGAAACCAGCATCATCATCATCCTATAATTTCCTATATCTCCCCTGGGGTCTTTTTGAAAAATTGGTGTCACATTGACTATCTCTGGCACTAAGCCCAGTTTGAGGGAAAAGTTACATATCTTTGCTAGGAGGTTAGCAATTTCACCTTTGAGTTCTTTATGGACTCTTGGATGGATACCCCCACAGTCCAGTGGTTTGTTATAATGTAGTTTCTCAAAATGTTATCTGTTGTTATCTTGATAAAAAAGTTTTTTTTTCCCCTTCAGGAACTATTGACCTCAAAACTGGCACCTATTTTATACTCTAACAAAGTTGCGAGCTCTGACACACAGTCACTAAACTCACCTTGCTACTCAGTCTATGAAGGTTGCTCTGCTCCTCTCTGCTAAATTCTCTTGCAAAGTCTTGTTTGTTCTCCTAGTCACTTTTTCTAGTCACGAGCTCACAACTCTCTCTCCTCTTTCTAAAGCTGGCTGGGGCTCTTTGTGGGTGAGATACTGAACCCCTAGTCTTCATCCATGACATTTGTCTGCTTTATTAGGCGAGAGGGCTCCTTCAGTCTGACAGATGCAAAAAGAAACAAATCTATTCAGTGATGCAGACTGCATTGTCCATGTTTAGAAATCACTCAAAGGTCAGCTGATGTATGTGCTCTCATTACTGTAACCTTCTAACAATGTTCTCCCTTCTAGCAAGCCTGCTAGCACAGGTTTATGATGTGGATCAGCGTGCCTTAAAGCACCCGTGGGAATTTGCTCACCCAATTGAGTACTGGGTGTGGCTTAATGCAGACACTCTGGCTGTGGTGACAGAGAAAGACATTTTCCACAGGACCATGAAATGTAAATATTAGCAAATCACTGAGGTAGAGTCTAAACTCATGTATTATGCTAAAACCAAAATGTGATTTGTTTGTGAATCCAGCTATTATGCCTTATTCAGCTAACCAGTTAAAATAAACAACCTGGCCCAGACTGCATGGAAGATCTGGACAGCTAGATAGAAATTGTTGTTGGGCTCCTATGGGGATGGCGGCCTTCCAAAACATGCAGCTTGGCCAGCATCCCATATATGATGTACCCTGTATCCCTCTCCCAAAATTCAATGGCAAAATGGCCCCCAAAATCACAAGAGCTCCCCTCCCACATTATCATCGGATGACTGGAAATGATTAATCAGAACACTGAATTGTGTGGCTACCCACCTAAAAAAGATTGCTCTGGGAAAGAAATTTGCTATAGACATGTTGTTTGAGGGAAATCTTTAAAAGCAGATAAAAGACCAAATTGTGCTGTAGACACAGGCAGTGTGATGCCCCCTATGTTGCTTCCAAAGCTCACTGACAAACCTGATTGTACTGTTTAAAAAATTCTGTTAATTAAAAACATGGAAAACTGGCATTCAGCAACATGCCAGATTCTAGCATCTCTATTTACAAGAATGTCTCTGGGCCCTGTATAAGCCTCACAGAAGCATTCTTAAAACGTAAAAATGTGTCCACTGCACCTACCACCAAAAAAAGGTTGACCGTCTCTCACCTCTCATAATGGTCTCTCATGTAGTCCATTTGAGATGACTGGAAACTTTGATCCCATTTCTTCAAGGCACAAGATCAAGATGGCAGTTCAGCCTGCATGAGCGACTCTGTGTCACGGAGGTGCTAGGATACCAACAGGACGCCAGTCACATGTGGATGGCGCTCTCAGCTCTAGGGCTTGAGGCTTTATAATCCTCCGACCACACATGTGGGTAATCTGCCTTGATGCTCATCCCATGAACAGGCTAGCAGCTCTGGCCCAATCTCTTTCTCCTTTCCTTTTCTACTGGCAAGGAGGCTTCTTGTCTCAGGTCATAGAAGCCCAAGCAGTGGCCTTGGCCCGACACAGTTCTCCAGGAATCCCAAGCCTTCCACAGCTCTTTTGGCTATGGTGTGGACAAAGAAGGAATGGACTGGGCAAATAGGTATGGGCAGACAAAGGGAAGAAAGCAAAAATCATCAAGTTTAAGCAGGAATAAGGGCGCCATTATGCCAGGATTCTCCATTTCTGTGTCCTCTTTCCATGCTTGTGTTTCAGTTCCATGTAGTGGAACATGGCCCCCACCAGCCAGACAACGCAGCCCTGCTTAGTGCCCATGGCATCTTGTCTTTCAAGGGGACTTGGCAAGGGGATTTCCGCAGTGTGATACAAGTGAGTTGTTTCTTCTAGTCTTGAAGAAAGATTTTTTTGTATATAGCAGGAAATCTTCACAGATTTTTTTTTTTAATGCTAATAGTTGCACAAAGTTAGATACCCAGAGAAATGAAATCCAGCCTGAACAAATTGTGTAAATTGTTGTTTGGCACGTTCCTGCTTCCATTAGATTTATGGGAGGAGGAAGGAGATATATAAAATTTGCAGGTCTATACCTGCTTGTTGATAGAGAACTGCTTGGTCACCCCTGAAATTTCAGCAGACGTTTCCCACTGATTTTCTGTGCCAGGACATTCCAAGCCTATATGGCGAGTCCCTAGGTCAGTGGTGACTATGGACAGGTAGAATACAAAGTGCTCTTCCACCATAGTTGTGTCTTGCCTCATTGCAGTGGAGGATGGCAAGTTTATCAGTTTGCCCCAGAAGAGGTAGACATGCCTTCTTGCTGTTGTGAGATTCCAGGGCATTGGAAGGACTTCTTTTTTATAATATTTGTATAAGTTACCAGTATGATACCGGGATGGATCTGATCCTAGACTTCCCCTATCTGATTCTCCTCATGTTGGTTCCTATCCCACTTGGGTGTGGTGGTGATTCTGACCAAACATGCCTTCCTCTTTCTTGAGGATGTGGAGACAGCACAAGCCATCTGTCACATCCAGCTGACTTGTGATATCCTTTTTGCCACTGTCCTTGATGACGGTAGGCCCCATCGCCTGCTGGGTGTTGGCCACAGTGGTAAGGTGAGTGAGAGCAATATGGGTGAAAAGGAGCCAGACAGGATTGAGAAAAATTTGATGAAGTACTTTAAGCTCTCTTCTCTCCCCCGTTCCCAGGTCCTTTCCATCTCCATCTGCCCCTATGCCCTGGGCCAGTATCTGTCCCACCACCCCACCAGCCTCTACCTTTCCCAGAGAATACTGCAGTTGGTGGGGCAGAGTCCTGTCCCATGGAAAATCGTTCCTGTGGAATAACTTGTGAACTGGATAGTGAGGACAGGACACTACATTATCATGAACCGTCTTCTCTCCCATGTGGACTTTTGGGGCTTTGAAGAAAGGGAAAGCCAGAAACCGGAGAAATGGTCTTACTGTCCAAAGCAGGGATATGCAATGAGAAGTAATAGGAAACAATGTCTGTTGCCTTCACCTGGAGAGTTAATTGGGGAGGGCAGGGGAGGACAAAGCTATGGAGAAGAGGAAGATTTCTCTAAGTAAAATGTGTACAGGGGATAGATTTTATGGGAAGGAAAAGGCACATGTATAGGATAAAATTTATGGGGTTAGAGGCCCCATACAGGGTGTTCTCTATTCCCTCTATGTCTTCTATGCCAACTAGGTCCCTTAGCTTCAAGGAATGCTGCGTCCCTGGAAAAAGTGCTTCTAGCGTCCACCTTCCCCTTCCTGCCCTTGGCATCATGATTTGCTCATTACTCTTACATTCAAAAAATAAAAAGGGGGGGTAAGTTCCCTTCTTCTTTTTTAAAATCCATATGTCATCCATGCAGTGAGCTGGGGGAACAGCTGCTCTTACCACAACAGAATCAGCACCTGGCTGCTTCAATCTTATCTCCCTGGGTTTTTCTGGTTATTAAGAAGCACACATGCACCTCCCTTAGTTGCAGTTTTAGTCAGAGATACTCAAAATAGGAGTGCAATGAAAACTAGTCCCCTCATACGTATAATGGCATCTCCAGCCAGTTTTTTTGTATGTTGTATGGCTGATGCACAGACATATATGGCTGATCTTCCAGCAAGGTCACAATCAGTGTGCTTGTTGCTGTTGGCAGATAGCGCTTAGATTCAAAAAATCTCTTAAAATGCCCAACTTTTGTGCAGGCAGTTCCATTTTATCTCTTCGAAGAAGCTTCTTTTGTACTGGTAACAAATTATTGAGTAAAATCTGTGCTCCTGCCTAGAGATTCTACTGCTATGAAAAGGGGGGATGGATTTAACTGTTAAGCAGGGGATAACAAAAAGTCATCATGCTGACATGGGGAAAGATAACTAGGCTTGCTTATAGCTCCCTACTCTTCATGTTACAGAATAAAAGAGCCCTCTGGCTGGAACATACCATTTTAATAAAAATTAAGCAATTACAAACGTTATTTTTTAAAGAAGAAGGAATTGCACTTTGGGAAAGTCTTTATCATGCCTGATGGGCATGGTCCAGCACAGGACTGTGAGTCACTTATTTATTTATTTATATTTCAAATTTAGATACCGCCCATCTCTCATATAACACTGAGGATGGCTGTAGTGCAGAAAAGGTCTGCAGCTGGGATACAGCTGGTAGTTTCCAAATAAAATGGGAATATTTTGGCCCTAGAAGGGCACTGTCACCTGAAGAACATCAGGTTTTTGCTATTATTATCAAGTATGCATGCAACTCACAGAAAGGATCTTTCTGAAGAATCCCTGAATTAGGTCCTGTTTGAAATTCAGATAAGCCCCAAACCCTTTCCATCATTTGGAGCCTCTGATCCTAATAAAAAATTTAAAATAAGGAAAGCCAAAGATGACATCCCCCAAAATTGAAACAGAAGTTGACTCTTTTTAACTTAAATCAATAGCAAAGGTGTAATTTCAGGCTTTCTTTGAGCTTGAGCTCAGATCATCTTGACTCTCCTGAGATTGCCCAGACAGGCATTGGTGAGTTGAGAAAACAAATTAGAATATGCTTGCTTCTCCTCAATATTTGTACAGATATGATTGTGGAGGTTCAGGGTTGGATGCCCTTGCTGAAACTGAAAAAGCCATTTCTTTCAATGCAGGGAATACAGACTAGATATCAGGTCTTAAACCCATATTTTAATAGTTTTTTCCCCCTCTTGACCACTATCAATAATACATCTTTAGCATCCTTTACTGGCAGTTACTGCTTGGCTTAGTGAATGTAAACATTGGAAAAAGTCAAAAAGTTCTAGAAGACAAGAAAATAGCATCTATGGTATTGCTCTGAATATTTTAAATGCCATTGTTATGGGCCTTTTGCTGAAGTTGTGCTTGGAGTTCTTGGCTGCTTTTGTGTAGTTGGCTGTGGCCCCATGCCCCATGACTAAATTGTTGTGCAGTGAAAAGGGGACAGAAGAACCTTCCAGGGACTTGCCATCTTCTCTTTCAGCTTTTCTTTCTCTTTTATTCTTCTCTCCCTTCTATGTCTGTTGACTATCTGACCTCAATCTGTCTGCTTAGATTAGATTCCCAAGATGCTTCTCCTGTGCCTCGCCATACATGAAATTCAGTCACAGTTGTGAAACCATAATTTTCTCTGTTGAAGTATTGGATGTGGTTAACGGTCACTCCATGTATGAATTGTGTCCACAGCAGAGAGAAGAGGACAAAAGTGACAGGAAAAGATGAATTGAATCTTAATGGCTGGAAGGGGTCACTGTAATTTATTGTCTTGTGGGAATTATGAATTAATTGTTGCAAAGGCCAGCATTGTATTGCTTATAAAGCCAAAAACAAAGCAATGGGTTGATACTAGAAAGCTGACTTCCATATTTTCAGTGCATTCTAAACCGAAGCATACCAGTGTAGTTGTAGGAGTTTGAGCCAGGACTCCTGAGATCCAGGTTCAAACCCAAACTTGGCCTTGACCCTCATGTGGTGACACAGTGGACGAAACACTCTGTCCTAGTCTAAGAACCATGTGAAAAGATAAAGCAGAAATACTGGTTATTATTTGTATCATTTACTGGTAAAACTGCTTCTGGAAAAACTGTGAATAATGGTATGAGGCATGTGTGAATCTATGTACCAATTCTGTATTGCAGTCATGGAGGTTAATTAGATCTTCATTAAAAAGATAACACCTTTGAATTGAACTTGACTTCTGATGACGGCATAGATTCAAGCACACAGTTTTCTGGGCAGAAAGAAACTGCAGAAATGGTTTGTCATCACTTTTCTTCCAGAATGTTGTTTGACTTCCCAACGTAGCCTACAGCTCTCTATTCCCTGGTGTTCTCCCATCTGAATATTTATCAAGCCAAACTCTCCTTAGGCCACTGAGGCTGCCTGTGGATGATGAAAGCAAAGCACAATCTCTCAGAAGGGTGTTAGGCTGGGGACATCTGTTCTGGAAAGGTATGGCTTGCTGGAGGAGGATGAAAGAGCAGTCCAACACCTGAGAACGCATCAGGTCTAGAAAGACATGGCCGGTCAGAGATCATGGGAGTTGTAATCCAATCCCTTAGAAAGGTGCTGTCCTGAGGAAAGCTGCACAGCATCAGCCCTCTCATCCCTATATAGTCACAAGCCTCTAACTTATCAGTGAAAATTGCCCTTCATTTAAACCTAATGATACAAGAAAAACAGTAGCAATCAACCACCACTATAGGAAAAGTCACTGAGTCAGACACAGATATAAAATGAAACCACTGCCTTCCATGAAAGAGCAAATAGCACAAATTGTAGCTTTGAGAGGGAAAAAAAATCAACAGACCCCAATTAAATGCATGACTTGGTTATTATTGTTCCTGCTTCTGTTGCTGTTGCTAGTGGCGCATTGCTGATGGCTGTTGTGTATAACTTGCAGTGGGACTGAAAAAGATTGGGCATGGAGCTGGTGTTTCTTGTACGTAGAGCCCCTTACAACTTTGGGGCTTTTTTTTTAATATGGTTTGCATGGGGGTCGTTTTAATAATTTTATTAAAGATTATAATCAGAATAGTAAAAACTAATACAAAAAGAGAGAGAGAGAGAGAGAAAGAGAGAGAGAGAGAGAGAA